GTATCTGTTTTATTGTTAATGACAACATCCCTAACTGTTATATTGTTTATTTGTCTGGAAGTTGTAGATCTACATTCAATACTAAGGTTAATCATTGAGAACGTATTCTTGATTAACTACTAAATCCATTGGATAAGCTTTATTTCACTGCATCTTGATTTAAACTAATAGGAAGGCTTAGCTTCAATTTTTAGGGGAAGGGTTTTAAGTTTAAACTTTTAGAGTTTAAGTTTTTTAATATTATTCCTCATTCACCCCCTCTTGGGTAAGGCCATTGGTCCCAACAGGAGGTATGGGTTTGGGGGATGAGTGGAACTGTTAACCCTATGTGTTGTGATGATAACAAACACATTTAGAGTACTAATGGTCTATCTCAGAGTGCAACATCTTTAGTAAGCTTCTTTGTGCTTAAATTGGATATAAAACTAGAATGCTACAAATGATCAAGTGGAAGCTCTATTAAGTATCTATTTGTGCTTCAACATTACACCATCATCAACCTCTCTCTAGTTAGAAAGCTCTAAGAAATCAAGCATCAAGGTTATTTAAGAATTTGAAGGCTTCAGAGCTGTTGAAGATTGATCTGCTACAATAACTCATCAAGGAATCAATATTTATATAACATGATGTATTTATTTGGTTTTATATTTTATAGAGCCTTGATGTAATTTATTTGTATAATGCATTTCATAGATGCTTAAAAAGACAGAACTCAGTCATCCTTAGAAACCATAATCCTTTGGGGTTTAGTTCATTGGATTTCTTAAGCTTAATCATGTTATGAAAGTCAGGAAACATCTTTTAAAGCCAAAGGAAAAGTTTCTAAAACCTCTTGGTAGAATGTGCCAAGGTTTCGAAGTGTTTAGGGTTTTTTTTTCAATCAAATTGGACTTAATTGAGAAAAGTAGTTGACTACTCTAGATTCATATATCGATTAACTATGATATTCAAGGCATGCATAGCCAAGATTGTGAGAAGTAATCAATTTCCCAAGATTGTGAGAAGATGTGTTGACTACTAGTGAACATGTGTTGACTTACTCAAATTGGATGAGTTCATAGACTTACAAGTTGACTAATAAGGAGAAACCACTTGACTAAAGGAGAAAAAAGATTCTTTCCTTTGTATTGTAGCAGACTGTTAGAATAGTGCAACCATCTACCATAAAGAAATTTGACCACTTGAAGGCTCCAATGACTACTACTAAATCTAGAAATCCTTTTAACATGTTGGAGAGAATTTGAATCATTTCCTGAAGAGTAAAAGATCTCTAATGATTTGAAAATAGTTACTTGCTCTTAATCATTTATAAATAGTGGTTCGTAGCTTGATTTAAAACAAGTAAAAATAAGATCAAAGTTTGTGAAAAAAACTTGTGCTTTTACTTGTACATATTGTAAATAGTTGTTTTTTAGAGAGAGAAAACCAGAGTTAGAGTCTTTTTGGAGGAGATCCTTGAGTTTCATCAGTTTTAGAGGTGAGCTTTGTTGAAGGCATTGAGTCATCCTCACCCATTTGTTGATCTCTCTCTCTCTCTCTCTCTTTGAGATGAGCATTTATGAATACGCTAGAAACTTTTTAGTTTGAAATGTAATTGTTTATATTTAGCTATCAAGAGCTTGCTCTTGCATTGTAAACATGCTCCTATGCTTACTAGTGAAACATTTTTGAGTACGTAGAAGTTGAACACCATTAAGGTCTTGTTGGATTTTATTTTAAATCTAACTACAAGGTCTTGTAGGCACTCGGAAACTCTATCGTTTTGGGTCTTGTTGGCACTTGTGTAAGTCCAACTAGAAAAGGTATTGTAGGCACCTTTGAAGTCCTAGTTGGTGCTCAAGAAGTCCTAGTTGGTGCTCAAGGTATTGGTTAAAGGCTTAGTTGGTGCTCAAGAAGTCCAATCAAATAGTAGAAATCCATAGTGGTGGTCTAAGGTAGAGGATGTAGGTAGGGTTGGCCGAACCTTTATAAAAATCTTATGTGCCTCTTGTTTTTGTTTCTTTTCTTTTAAATTTATAGTTTATTTTATTTGCACTAACTATCTCAACATCGGAAGACTTGAAACCTTGAGATCTTATAGATTTATAGTTTTTTTTGTCTTTTTTTTATCTACAAGATACAAGGAAAGTCATTGTAGTTTGAGTTTTAATTTTACTAACTTTATTAACTTTACTAACATTGCTAATTGTTTTGTTTATTATTTTGTTGTTTACTTTTATTGTTCATTTACATTCTTGCATAATTTATTGGGTAAATTACAAAGACCCCCCATACTTCAATTTGCGACAAAGACCCCCTCCGTTAGCGCTCCGTCAGTTAACCTCGAAAAAGATTCTCATCCGACTGTTTAAAGTTTTCCAAATGCCAAAACTACCCTTTTCTAATTTATTTTATCATTTTCTTTAATTTATGAAATTATCTTTATTTTTTTACATTCTGTATTGTTCATTGTCTTCTCCAATGGAGAAGATTCTTTTACAAAAAGAGAGAGAAGAGATCAACAACATGAAGCTAGAAAAACAGAGTATGTTGTTTTCCTAGTCGCTTTGTTAAAGCAACATTCCTCCATTTGGATCAATTAGGTTTTAAGAAAAAATGACAAAAAAAGAAAACAGAAAAAGTTTAGTGGGGTATTTTGGTAATTTAATGCCTTTCATCATCTGACTTAACGGCTAAGGGGGTATTTGTCACAATGTAAAAATTCAAGGGTTTTTATTGTCGCAAATAAAAGTATAGGGTGTCTTTGTCACTGACCCCATAGTATAGGGGGATCTTTGTAATTTACCTTAATTTATTTTTTGTAGTTAGTTAAATTTACTTTGATAGCTACCCCATATTTCAGCTATCTTGTGTAGCAGGTCCATATCTTTGCTACTTACTTGTTTGTGGCTGGCCCTCTCTTTCTAGCTACAAAGACATACACCACTAGGTGTAGCTTCAATTTGTTATTATGTTTATTTACATTTACCTTCTCCTTTACTTTCTACAGTTATTTGTACTTATTGTTCTTATTATTCATTAACTGTAGAACCATTAACCAGATAATAGGTTGGAGTTCATAACTGTTTAATTCATTTATCAGCCGCTATCCTATTAGTCATTATTATTGTGCTTTACTGTTGACTACTAAACCCTGCAGCTCTACTATGACACTTGCTTTTTGTTCTAAAGTTGCAAGTTTATTAATTTAGTAGCTAGATTGTTTCAAGTGTTCTATCTTGATCAACTACAGAACCTAATTGTCTAAGCCTTTAATACTCCATTGCAACTTATTTGTTAAAAGGCTTAGATTCAGTTTTAGGTGAATGGTCCTGAGCTTGATTGCCTAACGCTGCATTTTGCATTCTTTATTTTAAGGATTTATCTCCTTTTTGTAATTAAAAATTTAGTGTTCATAGGGCATTTTAAATGAAAAAAGAAGACAAGTCTTTAAAATAAGAAATGTCTTCAGAGTCTATGAATTCTAGTGTAATCAAAGTTTTTAATCTCTATCCAATTCACCCCCTCTTGGATAAGACCATTGATCCCAACAAGGACTACCTAATTCTTCTTGTCAATTAAATAAAGGAATTTAAAAACAATGAGAGATCCAAACAGATTAAATGTGAATATATGACAGACTTGTACCCAAGTTTAATCCAACAAAGTCTTGAAAATTATCAAAATGAACATCTCAGTGTGCATCCATGCCATGCCACTTAATTTCTTTGAAGAGCAAAGGCTTCTTAATTCTTAAATTGGTTTAGTCAACGCCCCATGATCCTTAAGGCTCAGTTTGGAAGGAGTGTAAATATAAATTTATAAAATCTTATATTTTGTATTATTTTTAATATATTTACATTGTATATGTTTGTATTTATACTCTTTCCAAACTGAGCGTAAAAAGCAATAAAATCGCATAGATGCCATTAATGACAAATTTTAATTTAATCATATCCCATAATTTTTCTTCATTATTCAATTCAAATTTAATCGTTTGCCACTTTTTAAGTCAATCTAGCTTTATGAAGTGGGCCCTATCCAGAAGGCTATGAGCGTGAAAATTCCGAAAAGCCAAAAACAAAGGCTTTCGGGTTAAGCTTCTTTTAGTGGCTAAATAGTAAATATGATTTCGTTTGGTGCATAGCACCTTGAGAGATTTGTATTAATCATGGTTTTGAAGATTGGACCGGAAATAGAACCGCTTTGGCCATTAATTCCTGAATCAAATCAATCGTCTGATTCAAACCTGGGTCGGATGGTTTTGGATCTAAAACCGGACCTGGACCCAAGACCGGTTCCTGAATCAATTGATCCAACCTTCCGATCCAATTCGGTTTTCAAAATCATGCAAAAATGTGAGAGATGACGAATTTTCCATGAACTGTTAGAGAATCTTTATAATTTAAAGGGACGAACCGTTTGTAAGGTCTTTGACTGATTGTAGACGAGACTTATTAGGTGAATATGGCCTCATGGTTTGGGAGATGGGCTACCCGTTTTGTAGCCTCATCGAAAAATAAAAATATAAGGCCATATTTGATTTGAAGGAAAAGGTAGAGAAACTCATGTAAGGTTTATAAAAGTTCTCCCATCATTCCTTTTTTTTCGCTGTGTTTTTCCTTCAAACGAAACACAGCCTAAAAACATTTACAGTGTTAAGAAACACTAGAATTAAGACACGTGGAGCCTGGAGATATGAGATGATACGAGAAAT